GACATCCCACGTCGGTTGGAAAAGAGAACGAATTATTCCTTATAAGAGTGTAAAAACTTCTTCCTAACATACATATTTTAAAACCGTGAGGCTGATAGCAATACGTAATGGGCTAAAGCGGACAATATCTGGTGGACTTGAGCTGTTACAGTTGGTATCAAAGCTAGTCACTAAGTAGTGTGCCAGCGATGACGTTGACCCCCAAGGGGAGTGGATTGTGAGATCACCATTGGTTGGTAAGGGGAACGAAGCATTTCTTATATGGGTGTGGAAACCTCTCCCTACTAGACACATTTAAAATGGTGAGACTAATGGCGATACGTAACGGGTTAAAGCAGAAAATATCTACTAGGTTAGGCTTGGACAATCCAAGCAATGGACGGTGTGCCATCGAGGACATTGGACTCCCAAAGAGGATGGATTGTGAAATCTCACACCAGTTAAAGAGGGGAACGAAGCATTTCTTACAAGGGTGTGGAAACTTTTCCCTAACAAACATGTTTTAAAATCGTGAGCCTAACGGTAATACATAATGGGCTAAAGTATACAATATCTACTAGCAGTAGGCTTAAGCAAGCCAAGCATAGGGTGATGTACCAACAAAGATGCTGGACCCCCAAGGGGGTGGATAGTAAGATCACAAATTCGTTGGAGAGGAGAACGAAGTCTTTCTTATAAGGGTGTGGAAACCTCTCCATAGTAGACGCGTTTTAAAACCATGAAACTGACGACCATACGTAACAAGCTGAAACAGATAATACCTATCATCGATGGGTTTGGACCGTTACTCTTTTGTTTTGGTACTTTCCACGAAGCTCCCCTTGAAAATGACCATTAAAGGCATCCCTACCTAACCTGAAAGTGTTTAACACGTACATATGCAAATACATTCATCAGCTCATAGATTCAGTGTAGATTGTGAACAATTTAAAAGGGGGTGTGCCCAATCTTTATATTTCCCCCTTGAAAATGATATTTATCACAGAATTACAAGTGTAAAGCTTTTGGTTGATTTTGCCTTTCTTTAACCCTCTTCCTCAGCCTACCACCTCCCTAACCGGCCTCGTGTCCACCCCTTTTCGGGGCTCAACTTCCTCGATGGCATATTGCTCGCTCGGTGTCTAACTCTATACTATTTGTAACAGCTCAAACCTACTGTTGGGTGTCCACGCTACCACTTGTTTCCTTTCTCCATTCGATGTGGAACCCCCCAATCTTCACCTCCTTTCAGGGTCCAGCGTATTTGTTGGCATATCGCCTCGTGTCCACCCTTTTCGAGGCTCAGCGAGGCTCAGCCTCCTCGCTGGCACATCGCCTAATGTCTAGCTCTGATACCATTTGTAACAACTCAAGTCCACTGCTAGTAGATATTGTCCACGTTTGCCCATTACGTATCGCTGTTAGCCTCACAATTTTAAAACCCGTCTAATAGGGAGAAGTTCTACACCCTTGTAAGGAATGTTTCGTTCCCCTCCAACTAATGTGGGATCTCACAATCCACTCTCCCCCTAGGCCCAGCGTTGTTGCTGGCACACCGCCCAGTGTCTTAGCTCTGATATCATTCCAATATACAATATTTGTTAGCAGTGGACTTGGGTTGTTATCCCTCGACTCACTACATGTTAGAAACCATGTAAGGACTCACGGATTTCGACAATAATATGATATTGTCCACTTTGAGCATAAATATGATATATCCACTTTGAACATAAACTTTCATGACTTTACTTTTTACTTCTCCAAAAGGCCTCGTACCAATGAAGATGTCTTCCTTAATAAGTTGATGTGAGACTCCTCGACACAAAATCCAAAACACCCGGGGATTCATAATAGGATGAATTGGATGCCTAAAAAAAAATTGTGGTGAGTGGGATTTGAACACACACCCTTTTGGACCAGAACTTTAATCTAGTGCCTTAGACCAACTAGGCCATCTCCACTTCTGATAAAATTTGATCACAGAATAAAAAACCAGCAAGTTAGGCGTTTTCTTCTCCTGAATTTCCCGCCTTTTTTTGGGAGCGAAACTCACAGCAGAATACCAGTCGCATTGCGGTGCTACCGATCCAGTCTTTTCGGACCATGAATTCTCGCGAGCTTGCCCTCGTCTCCACAGCCGCCGTTGTCGGTGCCGTCGCTTCGGCTATTGCTTGCCGCTTCTTCTTTAATCCTAAAAAGCACCGATCTCAGATCGATTTGTCGAGAAATGATGCTCCCTTGAACAATGGGCACTCACAGTGTCCTTTCAATCCCTCCAAACGCAATGGGTCAGAACATTTATGATGCGTTTGCGTTCATGTTTTTGCATATCTCTGCTTTTGTGCCATCGATTAAGCCCACTAACATTGTTAGGGTTTGTAGTCTTCAGGATTTTATTTATTTCTATTCCTAAATCATAAATTATAGTCCATTGTTAGGGTTTATAGTCTTTTTTAGAATTGTGTGAACTATTTGCAGGTATTTATCATGGGATGACTATTTCATGGCCATTGCATTCCTGTCGGCGGAAAGATCGAAGGATCCCAATCGGCAGGTGATTTCATGTTCTGGGATTTTCGTATCTGTTTCTGAAATGGTGTTTATGTTAGAGAAAAACGATGGCATCAATGATTTTCATATCCAAATTGCTCTGTTTAAGTGTGTTATGCCATTAGTCTTTCTACATGGTTGAATGCTCTGAGGGTTCTTTTTGTGTCAATCAAAACTTGTGGCCCCTTATTTGTTCGTGTTGTTCTATGTTTGAATCTGTGCTTCTATGGTGTAGGTTGGTGCATGCCTGGTTAGTCAAAATGGTGTAATTCTTGGTAAGTTTGCTTCATGGTTCATACGCCTAGTTTTGTTGGTTTCGTTGTTGTGATGTTAATCAATGTTTCTAACAAGTTATAGCCCATGTTCGTCATTGTGAGCTTCAGTAAATACTTTTAATTGTTCTTCTGCATGAAATGAGATCAAATTTTCTTTTTCTTCTTGTCTCACGAAGGCACATTGATTGAATATGTAATGCCTGTCTATTTCGAATTTGTTCTCTTCATTTCTGTATTTGTGTTGCAATAAGGTGTTCTGGAGATGAAATCTACACATTGCAATGTTATATTATAGGGATATACCCGGGTTGGATTGGGTCGGGTTGGGTTGGTTTGGATTGGAGAAATCTTTTGGACCAACACGAAATTTCGAGTTGATTTGGTTGGTGACCCGAGCAACCCGAATAGAGTCTACAACTTAATCCCAACCCAACTCCTTACCTTTTGAGTTGGGTTGGGTTGGGATATTGAGTTTTTTTGTTCTTTAATTATTAAAAAATTCTACTTGAGTGTGGAAATCTCTCACTACGGCGATATGTAATGGGCCAAAACGAACAATATATACTAGTGATGGACTTGAGCTATTACAAATGATATTAGGAGTCAGTCACCGGATGGTGTGTCAGTGAGGACGCTAGGCCTCAAGGGGGTGCATTATAAGATCCCACATCGGTTAGAGAGGGGAATGAAACATTCCTTATAAGGGTGTGGAAACCTCTCTCTAACAAACACGTTTTAAAAACCGTGAGGCTAACGGCGATATGTAATGGGCTATAGTGGACAATATCTGCTAGCGTTGGACTTGGGATGTTACATCCACAATAGATGTTACATTAATAACTAAAATCTCATAAAGCTCAAATATCAAACATTCACTAGTCACAACGCATCACTAACATAAGTTACAAACATCAAATAATATAATATGAAAGGATCATTTTTCATATTGAGTTATGCAGTTTACATAATCAAGCATTTGAAGTCAATTTTATTCATCTGTGATAGGCATAGGATATAATGGATTTCCGAGAGGATGCCCCGACGACAAGCTTCCTTGGGCAAAGGTTAGTTTCTTATGGCAAGCTGAGTTCTATACTTATTAACAAACATCTCACTACTTCTTCGTATGTGTTCAGAAATCAAAAACCGGCAATCCTTTGGAGACAAAGTATCCGTAAGTTCATGAATATGTAAGCTTTTTTGTCCAATTACATTGTCTGCTAGAAGTCAAATTTGCTGTATGAAGGTTCTGATGCTAAAATAGTTGCACTTTTTTTCAATCATTGTTCTTCTTGGCTTTAAAATCCTTTGTATAGCTATGTTTGTCACGCTGAAGTCAATGCCATCTTAAACACAAATCATGCTTCGGCTAGTGGACAGGTATTTTGCTTTCACCTGCCCTACATCTCTTTGAAACTTCTTGTCTGCTTATGAATGCTATGCTTCTCAGAGCTAAACTGACAACATTCTATTGACATTTAAATGCTCATAACTGGATAGAAAGACCTGCAAATCTGTTGTTCATTTGTTTCAGCTTTTGATGCTCTGCTGATCAAGCTCTGCTAATCAATGCTTGATCTCTGTGTAATCTTTGCAGAGGCTTTATGTGACCATGTTCCCTTGTAACGAATGTGCAAAAGTAATCATTCAGGTTGAGTATTCATCAAGACAATGGCATATAGGTTTGCCTTGAAAATGCCATTTACTCCACAAAACAACCATATTTGACCTCTGATATACACTATTGCATGCTCTTTTTTACTAAGTTGGACTTAATTGTGGGCTTTGTTGCAGTCTGGCGTCTCTGAAGTTGTTTATTTTATTGAGAAGAGGATGAACAATTCGGTTGCTTATATTGCCTCTCACAAATTGCTATCAATGGCTGGCGTAAAAGTAAGTCGTGCACTGTTACTGTTTGTCGTTCTGAACTTAGTAGCCTGTTTATCTCCCTTGCTAGTGACTGATTTGGCCTTTCAAATTGTAATGCAGGTTAGGAAACATCAACCCCTGTCAAGTCAGATCTTAATCAAGTTTGAGGAGCCTCATACATGAAAAGTATTAACCCCTTCCTTCGAGTGCCTATATTTCGATTCACGTTCTTCAAGTTCATGATTGAAAGCTTGAAACTCTTATTGATTATGGATTAAAAAAAAATACCTCCACGGATTTGGATTAGGAAGACCAAAAATGGAGACGGAACTCAAATTTTCTTTCTTTTTTGACAATATTGGAAGATGAATTGCTTGTTTTGACGAACTGTCGATACTTTCAGTGACAAGCTACTGATATTACAAGTTGAGTAGCAAAATTTAAGACAAATAAAAATGAAATCCGGATGTTTTGGTGTATAAACGTTAGCAGTCAGTAACCAGTAACTCTTTGATGTAGTCTTTTTTCCCTCTTTTGGGGGGTTGTCTGTTGAACCCCTAGAGTGCAATTGTACACTATAACTCAGACTGGATCAATCACATTCAATTTGCAGAGGGGAGCGAAATGGTGATACCAAATGATAGCGAGAGTGAGAGCTAACCATCGTTTGGAGATTAAGAATTAAGGGCCTCCAGTTGTCTCTTCAGATCTTCAAGATCATCCAAGAAAGGGGCCGTTGATTCAGTGGGAGGCGGATGCTGCTCATCTGCATTTGGAAGCTCGCGAACTAGACCTTCTGGAAGGGTATCTGCAAGGAAAAACAAATCAAGTGAATATCAAATTGAAATATTAGGCCACATTTGATAATCTTTTGGCTTTTAATTTGGAAAATTAAACCTATAAATATTACAATCAAGTATGTATGAGTTTTCCTTTATTATCTACTTTTTATTAACTCCAAGATCAATATCAAATGGAATAACCAGGTGAAACAAAGCTGATGCCTGATAACCAGGCAAAGAGAACAGAAACAAAATATGAAATAAAAATAAACGGACAAAAGATCACCTGAACTGGTTGCTCCCACGATTTCAATCTCAACATCATCAACAACACTGAAAAATCAACAGTAAATTATTAACCCAAGACACCAAAGGTTGAATCGTGATAGACACTTAAGGTAACGTTAAATCTCGAAAATAAGTATCCATAATCTGTAAAATTTTGCATCAATTCTTGATGTATTACGGTTGCGCTGACGGCAGAGATTTTATCTGTTTAAACCAGTTCCTCAATTTAAAATCTGTCACTTTTTTTAACTAGAATTCTCAACTGTATTTAATCTAAAATCGAAAAAAAAACAAATAAAAATATTTAAGAGAGGAATCAGAACTAACACCTTATATTCCATTCATTATCAGCATGCAGTGGGATTTCTTCAACGGTCAATGCTTCTGCTTCCATCTTTGCCTTAGCTGCAGCATCTCGTGCAGGTTTTGCAATAATGTATTCCTTCTGCACCACATTATTCACAATCAAAAGGAATTTAGAAACTGTGAGATTAGCTGACTTATCCAACAGTTAACAGTTACCTGTCGTTCCAGACAAGCCACATTTGAACACTGAGGGTTGGGCCTCATTTCCATGGTCGGGAAGTAGTCTTTTAGAGAATTATATCCCTGCAATGGAATATAATAAGTAAGAACAAAGGACAAGAGGGCAAAACCAAGAATAAACATACTTGATTTATCTTTTTCAGGGTGTCGACTCATTTAGAAAAATATTAAATTGGTTTCAGATTTTTCTAAGAAAATTTGACACAAGGCATTGCCATACATCATCATAAATTGTGCAGTTCGTTCCTTCAACCCTTCAACTTCTTTCATCTAGTCTTTCAAATGAAAATATTATAAACTAAATGAACTAAACGTAGAATCTTTTATTAGAGTCTTCCCACATGAAGAAGTGGAATTTCTGTTTAGAAGGGTTCCTCGACTGTTTTAGGTATTTTCCACAGCTGCATCTTAAACTCTAACATAAGCTATTTTGAGTTAGGAAATGAATCTTTTATTGTTAATTAGCTTTCTAGTTGATTAAATGGTTAGTTAATATTTGGTCAAATGAAATGCCTATTAATATGGTGTCCGTTTGGAAGCACAACTTTTTGAATGAATAAAGATAAGTGGAGTAAGTTATACGCACCAAGTAAGGAGAAACGTGTCCAAACTTTAGCAGAAACTTGAGGGTGTTTTGCACCAATAGGCCTGCAACAACTCCCTGAAAATAGTATCAAATAAGTTTTTACAATTAGAAAAGTATAACAAAAAAATGAAACCATTGATAGGAATATGAAACATTAGTTAGCGTTAGCCAATTTTGAATTATGCCATGAAAGGCTCTCAAATCATGAAATCAAAAGGAATATTTTATTTTTATCCCGTTATTTGAAAGATACCTAGTTGCACATAAGACCTAATGCTTAACTTGCTGTTGTAAAACATACTGGCGGTTAGTTTAGAAGCCTTTCTTTATAAGGAAAAAAAAAGGGAAAAAGGTAAGTTACTCAGCAAACAGCAAGCATATGATTTTGAAATGGGTTTTGGAGAGCTAATAAGAGTGGTACTTACAGTAGCATTCTTATATAATTACTGGCTGATATTTTAGAAGTAAACAATAACTATGTTCTTTCCCGAGAAAACACTTGAGATTTTAACTACTTTTCGAATTGTTGAAAAAGGCTTTTAGAATGAAGCAGAAGAAATGAAAAAATGTTTGTAAGTGCTTTTGACTCCTAAAACACATTTCGTATGCTAACAAGCGATTTACCTGTGATGGGAGTGTCTAAATACAAATACAATTCCTAAAATATACCCTGTATTTAAAATAGATGAGCCAACTTGAATGGATAATCTGGACCTAAAACGAAAATGTCACTACAAAAAGGTTTATAGTTTTCCCCACAAGGAAGTTATCGGAAGTTTTTTACATGAAGAGCATTTAAAAGATGCTTTGAAAGAAGAGCTTCTGGTTGAGGCGATTTTAAAATTACACAAGAATTTCTTGATCAAGCCCCAATTGAGGTATCATTAGCTGTTGGTTTTAGTTTGGCGCCTATTCATGCCTCATTGGAAGAAAATTTTGCACCCCCTCTTGAGGAAAAGAATAATGCCCCTTTGGCTTCTTTGGGTATTAGAGATAATAGGCCACTTCTTGCAGTTCTCTTTTAAAGATAATTATTGCACATTTCCCCCTTTGTTACTTGTTAAATGCTAAACGTGTAAACAAGTTCATTGATGATTTTAGAAAATAGTTTATTTAAAGAAACCTAGGAATTATGTGTTTCAAAGGAGAGATGATTGCATCTCCCCTGACAGAATCAGAAACAGCCTTCAGGCTTCCCTGTTAACACAAACAGATTAAGAATTATATCATGACAAGAAAAGTCCTTACCATTGTTGTAGGTAAAGATGCAGCACAAACCCCTTCTCGTTTGAGTGTTCGTTCGTCTATGCCAGATGCTACAACCTGAACCAAGGAAATAAATAAATAAACCCTTCCACCAACGAGCAATGACTTTAAAAAAAAAAAAAAAAAATTATAATACGATGATCCGGGAAGGATACAGAAAAATGAAAAACAAGAACAAATAACATATAACAAAGTACTCCATCACGGGAACCACATAAACAAAGTTGCTGCAGTTACGAAACAATAGAAATGTGGCTTATCTAGTCACTATAATAAAATTGAGAAATCTCCAAACATTCATGATCTTCATTAGAGAGAGGAGGAATACCAGAGGAGGTGCACAAGCAAAACAGGCAATTTCACCAGGAATAAGCAACTGAATATGACCAGAAACAGCATCCTCCGAAACACCTGAACAAATCTCCAATTTGTAGAATCTTAGGGATATTTGTGCAAAGTAAGAAAAACCAAAACAAATCTCCAATTTTTAAATTGATATATGTGTTAAGTATTAATTTTTTTCAGGTTAAATTATAAGTTCAATCTCTAAACTTCAAATCATATTTGATACATCCAAAACTTTCAATTTTTTCTATTTGAACCTAAAATTGTCTAATAGGGCCATAAACTTTCAAAATTTTGCGTCTAAAGGTTCCTAACCAAATCACGTCAGAAAATTCATGGACAAAATTGAAAGGTTATGTTCCTATTCAACAAAAAAAAAAAATCAATGTTATGTCAAATAGGAACAGTTTTGTGAATTTTAAAAAAAATTAATAGGTCAAAGACCTAGTAGACATAAAATTTTAAAATTGGCTAAACTTAAATTTTAAATATCTTTTTATATATTTTTCTTTTGGCATAAAATATAATTATATATAGATGAGTTTGATTTTGTTAATCTAAGAATGTGCCAGTATGCCCCATTTAGATTTGAACTAGCGAAGCTAGCATAACATATGCTTCCAAAATATCTGCTGGCTTGCCAAAAATGGTAGCAGGATGTGCTTGTTAGTTCACATTCAACACTTTGGTAATATCAATAACATTAATATAAAATAATAATGACGAGTCATAGCTTAAATTCAAATAATTTATCAATTCTTGAGATTTCCATAGTTTTCCTTGAATATCTGCCGACCGCCAACATTTAAAAAATATTCCATGAATGTTTTCATAAATTTGAGTGTTATACCTCTAAATTTCTGTCAACATCAATATACAATTCCTTGTTCTTAACCAATATATCAAACTTAAGATTTTAGGTGTTCGTCCATTTATGAGTGTTATGTAGTCAGCTGGTGAAAATATGACCAAACCAATTGCATGAGCCATATGTCCATAATTTGCTACAAGCAAAATTTACTGAAATCTATATAAATAAATGCACAAAGGGAGGACCTAGCATAAAAAAAAAATCCTAGGTGAATGATCAAAATAAGAATATTTTTTGCATACCAGATTCCATCCATATCTGATTTAGCTCATTGCAAGCCTGAATACCAAATCTTAAATATCAATGTCAAAGTAAATGTAAATAGACTTATGCATTCATATATATAACGATGTAGATACTGGAGAAACTTACCTGATTAACAGCCATCCTTGCTTCATAATTATCAACACAACTTAATACAAGATCCACTCCACTGCCTGCTTTGGCTGGGGAGAATGATTTGTTTCTCAAACTTGACATAAAAGTTTCAAAACCTTGCACGGTGGTGATATTCAGCGTATAGCTCTGTAGTAAGATGAACTGATTAGAATGAGGAACAACAAACAAAATGATCCAGATATTCTGCATAATTTAAACATTGTGAATTAAAGTGAGAATGAAGAGAAATTTAAATGTTGCAAGATATTTACTTCCTTAAAACTATTCTTTATGAAAGCATGAACACGTAACAGTGGGGAAAAACATAAAAGTTCCATTCATTATGCGTCAATTACATAGAAAATTGGTTCATATGCACAAACTATAAATGAACATCTGTGGGTGTTACTCATCAACGAAGGTGCAAATAATAGAGCATTTGTATAAAATGCTAACCTCAAGTACAACATCGGGATTGATATCTACAAGAGTCTGTACTGCAGCATCAGTTTTTGTCATACCAACCTGAGAATATTTCAGGAAAGGTAAGCTAGTGAACAAACTAGCCACTACATAGTTAACCGTGCCTTATAAGTGGGTAAACATTAAACCATCTAAAAGGAAAATTCCAGAACATTTAAGAGCATTGTAAGATGAAAATGTAAATGCACATACAGGTATTCAACCAAATTCAGGAAGAGATCAAAACTAGGAGCAAGCAATCCAATTCTTAAACCACACAAGATCCCAGGGGAGAAAGGGGGACGATGAACCGAAATGGTTACCTGCTCAGGGCGAAAGAAGAGTCTATTCATGTTGGCTAACTCCACTTTATCATAATCATATAACAACAAGCGACCTATTCCGCACCTCGTCAACATCTCAGCTGCAACACTTCCAACACCTCCAATTCCCTTTGTGTGAAGAATGAAAGAACAAAACAATTCATCATCATACATTAAACAAACAAAAAAACTGAAAGATGAATAACACATAGAGCAGCTTGTTGTTTCATTATGGATAGGAACTTGTGTTTTCAATACTTCCACAGTGAAAAATATTTCATAATATGTGAGGGAAGATACATAACTCTGTGCGCCAACTTCTAAAAATTGAAATTCTAGAGAATATTGAGCAGTAAAACAGATAAAGAAAAAGGAGATAAGTACAGACAACTATGGCAACAGAAAACTCCCGTATTCTTTCATAGTTTTCTACAATGCCCATCCTCTGAAGAGCCATAAGCCTACTGTAGGGGTTGCTATCTACCACCTCAGCACTCATGTCCTGCCACCATTTCGTTTGATGCATACGTTATCAATATAATTATTTAAAGATGATGAAAGAAAACCAAAACATGACAGAGGCATAGAACAAATACCTTGACTTTCGATCGGCGAACTGGTCCCGACTTTGAAAGATTTGTGAGACGCTCTAAATGCAATTGAAGCTGAATTGGACATAGCCGGAGAGCAATTGCATTCAGCGTTAGAAATTTCGAAAGCGGTAATCAAACACTCATTACAATTACACAATTATCGCTCCATAGTGAAAGACGCCTAAATATTCATGAAAACTCTAAGACCGAGAGAAGCAAACCATACATGCAGATTCATGCGTAAATTAAATCAAAAAGATCATTTCTCATTACAATGAGAATGCAGTCAAATATGAACTTCACAAGAACACATCAAGCAAAACAGGATCAACCTCGTACAGAAAGAATTCTACAGTCAAATGACTCGGTTTAAAAAAAAAAAAACAGCAAGAACAGAAGTATAATTGTTCAGGATCAAAAGAAATTGATTCAGAACTGAAAAGCAGAAATACCTTATCAACGGAACCTCGAAGAGACGCATCGGTTAGCGACTGCTTCAGGGATTCGAGATCGTCCTGCATCTCTTTCAATTCCACCTCCATTTCTGCTCCCTCTCGCTCTCTCTCAGAAGGATCTCCTAATTGTCTGTCTCTATACAGAAATCCAAAGTCCGAGAAGTCAACAAACTCTAAGATTTAGATGGTAGCCTCTTAGTTCCGATTCGGCAATGGATTTTCTTTACCACAATCTGCCAATCCGAAGTAATGTGTTCAAAGATTCCGGCGTGCTGCCCAGATCGGCTTCCTGTTCAGAATTGTTCCAACTTCCAGTAGTGATCAAAAGTTGGGTACTTTTGGGCTGCAGTTTAGGCCCAATAAGTAATTGGGCCTTCTGTAGATCCAATCCGTAGTAGTCTAGTGGGCTTTTTATTGGGTTTTATCCTTAAAATATTTTACAAAAATAACCCCATATGTACACATTTATTACAAAAATGGCATTGTAATAATCAATCCAACTCATAAAGTTTTTAGGTTGAGTTAGTTTGGTTGTTCGGGACGTTTATCAAATTTTTATTTTTAATAAAACTAAAATACTCATTCGTAAAACATCTATTTATTTGTTTTCAAACATCTAATTAAGACCATATATGGGAGTTAACACCTGCCAAGTGTCAAAAGGTGAAGGAAGTTGGTGACGTAATGATAGGGGAGTCGACGACCGAAACCCTAGTGAAAGGCAATCATAACTATAATAGTCATAAGGTAGAAAAAAATTTTGTCGGGTAAGTTCCGACCCACACGAAAGACGTAACAATCTGGACACTATCTCGAAGAGAGGCTCGGTGAAATAAACATGTCTATGAAGATGTGAACTACTTGTACGTAGACAAAAAGACCCTTAGTAAAAAAAAAAAATATTAGAAAATAAATAACTAAACAATATAATTATGAAATAAAATAAATATAGAATAAATAAATAAATATATTATATATATATATATATAGATATATATATGTATATAATTGTATCGCAAACAAAAATCTATTTTATATTAAAGTTAATTTTCGATCCATAACCCATAAACCAACAAAATCAATAAAATCTTTATTTCTTTGAATCCAGTCTAATTCAAATAAGTTCATAACAAACCCAAACCAATTGGGTTAATCGGATTTTTTTATTTTAAATTTAGATTATACAATTTATCCCGGTATAACACTATATTAATTTTTAAAAAAAATTAATTAATATTTGATTTTGAATCCATTTTAATCCCATGTAATATAGCCCCTAGGTTTAGACCATGGATAATATGATATGGGGTGGAATAATTTGACTAAATTTGATATTATCCAAGTTGAAGGCTGACTTTGAATTATAAGTTCAGAACCCATAATGGAAAGCCCCCACTTTTTAAATACTTGTAATTTGGTTGTTTGTAACGTATAACTTAGTTTTCCTTTTTGTGTCTATGAGAGCCTTTAGTCTCTAATATTATTTTATTTTAGCCTATTTGCTTAAATTTCGTCAACCGAGTTGAGGTCGAGTGATGTCACGGTCAAATTTGTCCAAAGCGTGTTGTCTATGCCCACATGTCGGATGTCTCAGTCATAATTGTCCAAGATATGTTATCCATGTCTACATGCCTGTTTCAAATCCCTTTTACATGTCGTAATACGTTTCATGTAGTGTTAATACGTGGGTGTACGATCGTTCACCAAAATCATGTCTACACCCGTCAAGGCTAAAATGTTCTAAAATATACTATAGAAGGATATGACTAGTTGTCAGTTCTTCCTACTCGGGTTATATGTTATCAAAGTCATTGTTGTTGCCTACTCGTTTTTAGCTTATAACATTGTTTTCTTTCAAATTATTTTCAATGTATTTCCTAGCTCACGTTTTCTAAAATATTGCTCTCAAATGTGATTTAAGGCACTACCAGTGATAGATTTGGTGGAGATCCCACATCAATTGGAGAAAAGAACAAGTGCCAGTAAGAACGCTTGGCCCTGAAGGGGGTGGATTGTGATATCCTACATTAATTAGGGAGGAGAACAAAACATCATTTATAAGCGGTCGAAACCTTTACCCACTATAAAGCCTTGAGGGAAAGCTCGTAAGGGAGAGTTCAAAAAAGACAATATCTGTCAGCGATGAATTTGAGTTGTTTCAGACAGTAAATATGTGTTTTGTTCGTTAGTGGTTCATATAATACTTTAACCTAAGATATTTAGATTTATTTTATTACAAGGCAAGAAAAACTAAACTTTTGAATTTAAAATTAAATTATGGGTCAAATTCAACATCCTCTAAGAATATGTTAATATGATGGCCAAGGGGATGCTTGGAGGCAGGGGGAACATATGGGTCAAACGAATTTCGTGTAATAATTCTCGACCTTTTGTCCATGTTCACATTCAGTCTTCCATTCTTGCTTCTTTTCAAATTACCAAATTTCAAGGCTAGATAGCCTCGGTATTCTTCTGTGACATGGTCACGTTACTTGCTCTAGAGTGAAACCTATTCTCACATATCAACATGTTTTGCCTTCTGAGAAAAATCTCAGATGACACTTAACATACAATTATTCCAAGCAAAACACGTTTAACTATGAAATTCCTCTGATTGATCCACCGAAAATGAAGGTGCATCTTATCAGTATAGGTAGTAACTTTCATTTCGTAGTTATCATATCCTTAAGACTACTCTCATTCAGATGTGGTCTCGATTCATTTATGTATCATTCATTTGCTCGGGTGTCATAAAAATTTTAGACCAACTCGAAATTTCAAATTTGCTAGGTTGGTAAGTCGAATAACTCGAATAGCATTTCTAATTAGGTAGTCGAGTTGTTGACTTTTAAATTTTTTTATTTATTCACATTAACAACTATAGTCTAATAAAATTCAAATATCCATATTTCAAGTCACAGCACGATCACCGACATCGACATATATTACAAGCATTAAATATTATAATAATAGTGATTTTATGATCATTTTTAATTAAATAATAAATAAATAAAGAGTTTACGATATTTCCCATACTTTTTTTTTTCTTTAAATATCTCTTCTTTTTTTATTTTTTTATTTTATTTTGTGGTATGGAAATTATTAAGAGGATGGCATGAGCCACCAACTTCCACATATTTTTTTCAAGAGCCTTATCCATTGCTTTAAAATTCAATAATTCATCTCGTTGAATAAAATAATAATATTATAATGTCCCTACAAAAATATCTCTTATTTAGAAATTTTCTATATATTTTTAAAAATTATTATTATTTAAACTAATTTTAATAAATTTCTATAGAAAATTTATATATATTATTGGCAAACCGTTCGGAACTTGACTCTAATACCACTATAATAGTTCCAACCTATGTGATATCTCACAATCTACTTCCTTAGAGGCCTATCATTTCGTTGGCACACCGCTCGGAACCTACTGTAATAGCTCCAACCTATGTGGGATCTCACAATCTACTCCCTTAAAAACCTTGTGTTCTCGCTGGCACAACGTTCGGTACCTGGCTTTAATGCCACTATAACAACTTGTGTCTATCGTCAACAGATATTGTCCATTTTAACTTGTTACATATTACTGTCAACCTCACGATTTTAACACATGATGGTTTTTTATACACTATTTACTTGAATTTTACCAGATTATAGGACTAATTCTAATATTTAAAAAATAATATATATATTTTTTTTACTTTAATTGTACAAATAGAAAAATTAGCCGGTCAAGCCACGTGTATCATGACATTTCTTTAATCATTCTCTTTTTGTTAGCCAATCTATCAACCATATTTCCTTAAAAATAAAAAATCTATGAACTATGTTTTGAATTTTATTTTTTATTAATTATTATATCCCGAAATTTCCATGTACGGCCGCATTTTTTCCTCGGGTTAAAATGATCGATTTTTCATTTGCCAATGAATTGGATCTACCCTGATTTTGATCGATAATAGGATTCACGGCTAGAAGAAAGGTTCTTTGACGTGGATGGCTTGCTTGACTAACTCGGTTGACCTAATAGATGATGAAATTCTCGATCGATTTGAGAGAATTTGGAAAAGTCTTTCTCACTATTCATTCTATTCAATATAGGGAGAGCTTTCAATACCTGACTAACTCAGTTGGCCCATCTAGCAGATGCGTTTTAAAGTCTTGAGGAGAAACCCGTAAGGGAAAGCCCAAAGCGGACAATATCTACTAACGGTGTGCTTGGGTCATTACAAATGATATTAGAGCCAGACATCGGACGATGTGTCAGCCTTCTCGTTGTTCCCCGAACGGAGGATAGACACGAGTCAATATGCCAGTAAAAAAGCTGGGGAACAAGTCCCAGGGAGAACACTGGGCCGAAAGAGGGGTGGATTGTAATGTCCCACATTGGTCGGGGAATTTTGTAACTTTTTTGGTTAGGTCAACTCAGCGGATACGAAAATAAAGTTTACAACTCAATTTAACTTTACTAATATTTAAAATATTTTACGGTTGTAATCGAGGTTAATAATGTAATATATCAGTATGATATTATAATATTAATATAATATGTTATATGTAGACTATTATTGTTTTTTTAAACCAAAGACAATAAGTAATTTTTATTTAAATATTTAGGAATTGAAAAATGAGGTTGAGTTTTACACTCTAACTCGGTCAAACTTTACATACAAAACATGATTACGGTCTTACTAAGCTGATTAATTAATTAAATAATTAAAATTTTATATTTATTTAGAAGCTGACTGGCTCGAACCGTGGGGACCCATCTAAATCTGTCTGGACACTTCCCCACCGTTGCTGGTTCGCTAGAGATATAAATTTAACGCACCCGATTCATTTTGAGATCACTTCATGCTCTAACTACGATCCAAATCTGGCTTCCTTTAATCCTCCATTAACGGACCTCAATCGTTTGCAGTCCTTTCATGACGGTTCCATTTTCAAGGTGAAGGCCACAACGACGACTAATCTATTACACTCTGGAATGGTGTGCAATAAAAGAAGGAGAACTTCGACCACCACCGCCGCCGGGATTCATGATCTCTTCGACGATTTGCCGGATGATTTACTCGTCCTCCTCCTCGGCAAACTTAGCGCCAACGCTTCTTCTCCTTCAGATCTCGTCAATGTTATGTTGACGTAAGAATCGCGTAACTTGTGGTTTCTTTAATTTCTATTTCTGTTGTGATTTTCATTTGATGTTCATGAGACGAATCATAGATGTAAGAGGTTCAATCGATTGGCTCTGCATCCGATGGTGCTATCGAAAGCCGGACCTAAAGCATTTGAAATCCGAATTAAAAA